CATGGTCTTACCAGAGGATGTGTGCGCACAGGCCCTTTCAAAGGTGAGTACTAATTATCTTATCTTCTCTTTCTATGTATTGTCGCTTATTCTTTCAATGTTTCATACAGGTTGATACAATCTCTGGTCAAATTGCAAGTAGTGCTGCACGACGTAGTGATTTCAAGGCGCGTGCCACCCGCTTGGGGTACAAGGGTTGCATGCTTAAACGGCCTTGTAAAACACGGTGGAACAGCCATTACGAAAGCCGTCAGATTGCATTGGAGGCTCAAGAGGTATGTGTCTCATCACACTAATCCGTTCTCTTGATTACTCTTCAATATCAGTTTTTGTTATGCAGGTCATCAACTCGATGATCGCAGCGGATCGGAAGGCGTGTTTTTTTAAGGGCATTACAATCTCATCGCAGGAATGGGATGCAGTTGAAATGGTCAACAAGTTGTTGAAGGTAAGTTTATCATCACCATCATACTTTTTCAAATTTGACATACTGACTATCAACTTCTCACTAGACCTTTGTTGATGCAACTGCTCGGGTTGAGGGCAATGGCCCTACTGGCTGTGTCGTACTAGCCGATTATAAACGGGTCATATCCGAGCTCAAATCCTATCGAGCAGAAGCCGTCAGCTTTCCGAGCCTCACCAAGTCAATCAACATCATGATTGACTGGCTCATTAAGTACCAGCATGAGGCCGCGGATAGTGAGGCCATAACATTGGCAACTATCCTCAACCCTCGCTTTCAAGCAAAGTTTTTCACACTTCACTACCCCGAACACAACACTTCTTCCCACGCAGCAATTGAGAACGCTTTCAATACTCAGTTGGAAGAAACTGAGGTACTGAACACATCCCCTCCACCTGTCGATCACAATGGTGATGTCAAGACCGACGAATTCGACATCTTTGGCGTGGCAAACGGGGGTACTGAGACTTCAGCTAAGTCTGAGCTGGATGAATACCTGCAAGGACGATTCCCAATCAAGAGGGATCAAACACCTCTTGGTTGGTGGAAGGTTTGTCCAATTCTATCTTCATTTATTTGTGTAACTTTGATGTTGATGTTGTCTTAAATTTTTTGACAGGTACATGCACATCACTTCCCCATACTTTCCAAGCTAGCCCGTGATTACCTGGCCATCTCAGCCACTTCATGCGCTTGCGAGCGTACTTTCTCAGCAGCCGCTGATGTGTGTACACCCGCTAGAGGTAGCATGCTTCCAAGGACGATGGAGCGCCTGGTGGGTTCGCAAGCTTGGATGAAAGATGGTATTGTACCAGATGGGATTTTTGAGGATGCCTCCAAGGCACTTGAATGCTATATTGAGGGATTGAACAAAAAAAAGAAGATTTAGTTTCACATTTCATGATTCTAAACTATCAAGTGTTTCACATTGTTTCCTCTATCACTTTAATTTACAAAAAAAATCCAATTTTTTTTCAAGAAATCGATTTCTAAATTTTTTTTTCCTCCTTTAAATTGTTTTTCTTCCTTTCAGCGCTATGGTGCCGCTACATAGCGCGCAATATCACTATATAGTGCGCTCCGCCCATAGTGCACTATATAGCGATTACGGAGCGGTTTCTCCGCCCCACTCTCCCCTGTGCCAAAAAAAAAAGATGAAGAGCGAAGCCGTTGTGGAGCGCTTGAGAGCGCAGCGTGCGCTCCGCACTCAAGATGGGTCAAAATCTTGAGTGGAGCGGAGCGGTTCCGGTGTTGCCTCCATTCACTGTGGAGGGAGGATCGAAGAGCTTTGTAGGGTTAAAGGTAAGGTTTCTTTTTCAATCAAACAAGTCGCTGACACATGATTGTAGGTATACTTTTACGTTACCTCCCCCCCTATTGTCCCGAACTGAACCCCATCGAGTTGGGTTTTGGAGTGATGAAGTCACGAATTCAACGCTCCCAGGTCCTAGCCACGTATAAGGACCCAATCGCTCAAATAAGAAAGGCGGCGTGCCAGACTTTTGTGCAAGACTTACTCCACCGTTTATATCGTGGATGTGGCTATCGGGTGGCTCATGAGGAAGTTTTTGATTAACTTAATATTTTGTTTTTCCTCAACTTGTTCTCTCTATCTTTATATATTTTTTTCTTCAGCTCGTTCTGTCTATCTTTATATTTTTTTTCTTCAGCTCGTTCTGTCTATCTTTATATTTTTTTTCTTCAGCTCCTTCTCTCTATTTGTAGCTGGTCATATCTTATTTTCCCTTGTGAATAACTCAATGTAAAGTCTTGTAGTTGAGGAACAGAATGACCCAATGTGCTGATCAAAGGTTTCATGAGTAATCTAATGAATTTCTCATTGTTGAGTTATTAAAGATGGTTTATATGAGTTATAAAGAATTCCTGACTTTGATTTGATCCAGTCTTTCCTGAACAAAGACTAAGTCTAAACTTGACTCGGTGAAGTTCAAGTTAAGACTAAGTTGAACTTGGTTTGTTCAAGTTCAAGTTCAGACTAGCTTGAACTTGGATCGGTCAAGTTTAGACTGAGACCAATCCAAGTTCAAGTTAGTCTGAACTTGAATCTGTCAAGTTTTTACTGAGATCAGAGTTGATCGATCAAAGTCAACTCTTATAGTCCACTCTTATCTTGGTGAAGCCTTGACCAAATAAAGGCTCGCTTAGATGATATTTGGGTGTCTAGCTCCGATCATGATGCTCATCTTTCTCACATATTATAATTTATTTTGATTTTGATTTTTTGATCATTGATGAAAGAAATTAAAAAAATAAAATCCTATTGAAAACAAGAGTCCAAATGAAGGAAGTGACAATACAAAAAGAAAATAAATGAAAAGTGAAATGTATGACTTTCCTGAGCGTTCTCAGTGGACTAATTGCCAAGAACGAATAGCCACCAATGGGGCCTGTCAATATTAATATGAACATTGCCTTTCATCAGACGCATGAGGTGGGTGAGCTCACGCAGCATTTGATGACAAAGCGCTTAAATTATAGGAAGGGGTTAGAGGTTGAAGCCTGCTGCTCCCAACAGGTACGACGTACCTTGCGTTGATGCGTTCGGTAAGTCCGGTACTTCTTGGCACCTGCGTATAACATGGTGATGTGGGCATTTGAAACCCCGTCTCTAGCTAAGTCGCCACGTGGAAGTTCTTCCTTGTTGATCATTCTGTAATCTGTGATTCCCGCGCTTTTGAGAACATTACCAAGCTTGATTATTTGATCATTGGGGAAGCGACAGAAAAGGAGGTATGGATCAATGCCATCAGGGTCAGCAGGATCGTGCGCGTAAGGAGGGGACGACGATAGTGGAGGTGAAGCGCGAGAAGGCTCTGGTCGCAAACCCCTGATGGGCGTAGAACAATCAGGTTGGGGGCTTTCCAAGTTGGGTGCTGGCCGTTTGAGGGGTGATCGTGCCGCCTCAACCGCTGTGACTACTCCGACGACTAGCTCAGCAATCAATGCTGAGTTGATGGTTGGCTGAGAGGTTGAAGGAGAAGGGCTGGCGCGAGTACTCTTACGAGCACTCCTCAAAAGGTCATACTTAAGGCTGGCTGGTGGCTTTTCAAGGCTCACATCATCGTCATGCTAAATTATCCAAAAGTCAGTGAGTGTTTCACTGAATGCTGAAGGGAAAAGAAAGGGCTTACTCAATGCTTAGCCCACTCCTCTGCTTTTCCGTACGTCAATGCAAAATATCGATTGGGGCATGTAGGATCGATGATGGGGGGATACGTCGCATGATAGGAGATGTTCATGGGATATTTTTTGAAAAGTAAGCCAATGAAACGGTTATCTGGTGCTTCATCTGAAGCAGCAGAAGCTTCAGATTGGCAATCGTCCGACTGTTTGAAGCAAAGCTGGAGGATCAGACAGAATGTGACTAGGAAAAGATAATATAAGTTGATTGTACATTACCTCGTCATTGTCATCAGAACGTCGATTGCGACGTTCTTTCTTGCGTGCTGCCAAAGCGGCGGCCGCCTCAGTGCGTTCCGCCTGGAAGATTAGATGATGAGAGTGATTCGGCCCTAAATGTTGAGTGAGGACTTACCAATATGGCCAGGGCTTTCAGCTTCTGGGGGCTTTGTGCAACATAAGAAATCCTGACATCTTGACTAGAGTGCGCTTCCTCAACCCAACTCTGGAGGTTTTCTGGACTTAAATCCAATCGTCAATTCGCAGTCTTGGGGAAGTTGGGGCTGTTTGCAATGTAAAGAGTCCATCTTCCGGGATGCTTCTTTTGATGGGTAGAGTCTTGAAGGAGGGTCCGAGTAGCCTGAATCTTCGGCGAGGCAACACATTATGATTTGATTCTGGCAATATTGAAATCGGTTGCATTCCAATCAACCGTGCATTCCTTGTCAGCAATTCGCATGTATCCGGATTTCTCCTCCTTTGAGGGCACATAGAATTCAAAATCGAACTTGAATTTGAAGCTGAAGGTGTCGTTGGCATTGTCATTTGCTTGGTTCTGGTTATGTCACAGAAAAAGGACAAGAATCAATGATCGACTATGTGGAGAAAGTCAAAAAGGATAACAAACTGACCTGAGTGGTTCCTAAAACATTGGGTTGGACCGCATTTCGATGAGTTAAGCCTATCAATAGAGGGTTCACGTGTGAGCTGTAAGGCATAATAATTAGTTTTTTTTGATGCGATGGATGGAGGTTGAGTGTCGGGCGGTGGATGAGATGAAAAATAATTTTTTTTTTGGATGCGATGGATGGTGGGCGAGACTTGCTGTGTAGGGTGAAATAAAAAAAAATCAAAATTTTTTTCAAGTGACAGGTGCCCCCGAGTGAAAGGCACCTGTCTGGGCCGCTGTCCGTGCTGTGAACCACTGCGCAATCCGCAGTGGTTCACCCCAGAGTGTTTCATTTCCGAGGCACCTGTGCCAACAATTTTAGCAAATGTAATATAACTTTTTTCTTGAAAATTTACTTACACCTGAATTGATTCAGGAGGGGGAAAAAGAATTATGAAATCAAAAGGAAAAGAGTAAATGTAGTGTTGGGTTTGATAAAAGGAACGATGCCAACGAGATTCGAACTCGCGCGGGCAGAACCCAACGCCTAGACTCCGCTCATTTGTATGAGCCATAGCAGGGCGTCTCCTTAACCACTCGGACATAGCACCATGACGTAATTCGACGTAATCAGGCAGTTCGTTACACATATATTTGATTTTGTAAAGCTTAGAAGTCTTAAACGCTTCAAGAGTGTAAGAATTTAATTCAAAATTTTGTAACTTGATGATATGAGACAGGAAACAAAAAAATGAATCGAAAATTCAAATAGATCTTGTTAACTTTTCCTTTTTTAAAAAAATGAAATTGATTTTTTTTAAAAAGAAAAATATATATTTGTTTTTTTTTGATAAAGTTAAATTTATCTTAAATTTTTAAGAATGAAATGATTTATGTATCTAATTACCTAAAGAAACCAATTTTTGCAAAAGAACTTTTTTTTTCAAGAGAATTAAGGATGAGTAAATAAATTGTATAGATTTATATTATAAGATGAATTACTAGAAGAGATGGATATGGATGAATCTAATTGATCTGTTTTTGAAATTTTTCTTTTAGTTAATACATCTACATATTAATCTAAGTGAACCAAAAAAACTCTCTTCTGTGATACATAAATCATCATTCTTGTAAATTATCAACATGGGCTCATGAAAGTACCCTGTTCAGCTTTCTAAAAGACCCACGTGCGGGTATTATGAAAAGGGTTGCATGGCTAGAATTTGATTTGTGTTTGCTGCGAAAATGTGGATGCTGCTCGAAAGATAGTGGCGTTCTGAGAGATGTGTGTTGCGGCTCAATCCTTCAAAATGCAAAATTGCGATGGGTGAAGTGGGAAATGACTTCCAAAATAGGAATCCGGCGCCAGCACCCCATCAAACCCGAAGACCGCGTCAATACTCGTGACTGAGCTTCAGTGATGAATTCAGATGAGAGTTGAATGCGAACTAGCAAAGACAAGAGTTGACCATGAGGTCAGCTGCTGTCTACTCTGATTACCCTCACCGAATGCTTATGAGAGATGAGGACCACATTGAAGATGAAGAAGCCAATGTTGAAGAGGATGACGACGAGGATGACGAAGATGAGGAAGAAGACGACGAAAGCTCAGATACGAGTTTGAGTTCAGCTTTATCCTTAACATTCGGTCGACCTCATCACAATCCTCGAGATCGACTACCTTCTTCAATCTCAGCTTGTTCTTCCTCTTCTACTTCATCTGCATCATTATCATTATCAGCTCAAGGCTCAAGTTTCCCTGGATCAAGGCGTAGGATCAAGAATGCTCTGACGATCTTGGGTACTCGAAGAGCGATCACCAATCGAGCTTGGAATGATCTTTGGAATGCATCACAAACTCTCGAAGTGGTTCTTAACCAAACTCCTTCATCAGATCTTGGTGTCTTTCTTCCCATCTTTGGTTGGTTCAAATCTTTTTATACTAAATTTGACTCTCAAATCATAAAATCTCATCACTGACCTAGCTTGTTTTACTTGGTACTCTAGCTCGCATCTCTACTGATTTGGATATGCTCTTGGCTGCCACCACAGTTCAAGACAAAGATTATCGACGTGGACTTAGCTCTTCGGAAGCAAAGGCCTTAGCAATTCTACTACAAAAATGGCCCAAGATGGTGGCAGAGCCGAGGTGGCGTTTTGTACGTCAAACTGTCGAGAATGTGAGTGACGCTGGACTCAAAAAAAGAGCAATAAAAATACACTATCTCTTCCCCATCACTCAATACAAATTGCTCATCCGTCAGAGAAGCAAGGACGTCAAGTGTAACTAAAGTTTTTGGGTTCGATGTTAGTATAGGTGCCTAAACCAATCGCCATTGAAACGGTTGATCGACCTACATCACAACTTTTGGCATGTCTCGAAGCCATCATTCTTCTCGGCTCACCTCGAAAGCTTTCATTGGCTAGATTAGGTCTTGATCATTTACCACTTGCACTTTTGGATCTCGATGAGGTAGTAAGTTGGTATTTGAGCTTCGAGGGCTCGCCTATTCCGCCAGGTCGTCTTGAAGAAGTGATAGGATCAATCAAATTACTTGACTTGTCACGCAATCAGCTTGCTGGTTTGTGTCCCGATTTTATCGTCTCTCTAGATTTCACAATTTGAATACTGATCTGACTCATAACTTATTCATTTGAACAGTTCTCCCAAATTCTCTACCTTACGTGTTACCTTATCTTGAGAGCCTCAATATGTCTCATAATCCGTTCTTAACCATACCCACGAGTCTGACTCGTTTCAGGCATCTAGAGAGACTAAGTACTAAGGCTACTCGACGTCGGAAGAGTAATGTTCGCTCGATCTGGGCTGAAATCGAAAAGAAAACTCAAACAGAAGTGACTTCACCAAACGAAAAGGTACAGTCACTTGTGGTCAATTGCATTCGTCGCATACAACGATCACTGAAGTGTGGAGAAACAGTAGATCTGAGTAACTTGGCTGGACATGTACGTCGTGTGGTTACCAACGGATTTGACTGTGAATCTTGTGAACAATTCGTCGGACCACCACATGGATTAGCACCACTATATGAACGCGTTAAGTTATTATCCCCGGCTATCAGTTTATCAAGTTCATCGGATCAAGGAGGAGGTCGTGATGTGAGTGGGAGTAGCAGGGGAAGAACAGAGGTTATGAATGTATCGGGCAATGCCGTTTCACCTCATGGTTTAAGTTTGGCTGAACGAATAGCAGTAGCAGTAGGAAGTCGTAGTAGAGAATCTACAACGGTAATCATTGGTCCTAGAAAACTTTGTTATAAATGTGCAAGATTACATCTTAGTTTTGATTCAGTTGGAAGGGTTAACTTGAATCATAAGGAATGTGAATGTGATGGATGTGAAGAAGAAAGGAAAATTGTAGGAGAGTTAGGTGTAGTTAGGTGGGTAAGGAGAAAAGTACCAAGAAACGAACATCAGGTTATTTGATGATGATGGCGAATTTTATATAGTTTTGAATTCATCGTTATTAATTTAGCAAGGGTTTATGATCCACAATCTATCGACTCTTAAGAGTAAACAAAAGCATGTAATGATTTCTCTTTGCGTGATTTGGTTAACAATCTTAGAGCCTTTCTCCAAACAAGCTTGATAAGTTCTTTGAATTTCATAACCATCGATACAAAATACAACAAAGACTAGTAATTAGTGCCTTGTAAAATTGGTGTGCATGGAGATTGAGCAGTATGAGAGTCAGTAAATGTATTGACACATGGAAATCGGACCAAAGTATGAGATCACCATAACACGATGATATTCCTGAAATCTGCCATCTTTTCTTGCTTGATTGGTTTCCTAGATTACCAATCCCTGAAAACCTTTGATCTGAAGGTAGTTCTTTTATTCCTACCCTTATCTAACAATTTACATCTATCAGATCATTCAATTACTCCACTATTAACCAAAAGTGATTCCTTCAAAGATATTTTTGATTGCCCTGTCCTACTGCTGTGGTTTTTTCAAACATTTCGTAAGCTTTTGCCCATATATACATAGTTTTTCCCTTGTTTATTTAGAGTTTGAGTCTTCAATTCATGTTTTCTGGGGCTTGTTTTGGCGTTTATGCTGCGTCATTTCTATAGAATTGTACACTACTTTTTTGATTCCGTCGCGTCTCTGAGAACCTTCTTTTGATTCAAATTTTAGAACCTTTCTGATCATTTTTGTAGGCCTTCCTCATGCTCCTTGTGATATTCTGATTTGTTACCCTCATATTCACTTACTTCCATCTTCGAGTTCATCAAACTCTCTCTCGGTAATTGAGGTTAGCTTTGACATTCTGCGTTGGACACCCAAGTGCCAGTGACCCAACAAGCTATGCCCTGACTTTCATCATTCATTGAATCGCTCATCAACGTTGCGTACATGCATCGGAAAATAGTGGCAGTCATTCCGATAGAAGTCACCTGAGTCTTGATAACAAAAGACTTATTGTTTGTTATATTCACGTACGTATGGGCTCAACAAGCGCCTTTCGAGGTCATCGGGACCCCTCGATGACCTTCGAGACTCTTGGCTCGCTATGAAGGCTGGGTTAGCCCAATTTTTGAATGGCGTTCTCAGTTCTGTTCCGCTGGAAGACCCAAAGCATTCAGGAAGCTACTATTTCTTTGCTAGTTTTCTGGGATCTGCCGGTTTAATAGACTGCAAAATCATGTGGAGCCACATATGATATGCACAACGCTGGAATCAAGAGTTTTTTTCAAGTTCCAGCTCAGATTACATTATGATCTTTCCGGTAGACTGGAACCACTTCGCATCTCCACAAAATTCAACTCTATCTATCAAAGTTTTCATTGAAGTGCTTCAAAGTCTCACTTAATAACACCCATGGGGAATCTGCAACGAGAGCTGAAGATCGGGGCATTCTCGGCGGAAGGCGGGATGAGTTTGTGATGGTACACCCAACTCAGTGATGCCCCAAACTTCCGGCTGTGGTTGTGTGAAATGGAAGAAGTGATCGTTAACGCGAATAAGCACATCGTCTTTTGTGCAAATCCCTGGAAGCAACCGTTTCCTTTAGGTTGGGGTCCAGATGTCACCAAAGGGATTTCCTGCCCTCATACTCAGCCGGAAAAATTCAAGGTAAATTGTTGGCCGCAGATGTTTTGAAACTTATACTCTACAGTGAGTTTGGTGGTTTGGTTTGATTTCAAATCTACCAAGGAAAGATGGTTTATGGATGTGGAAAAAAAGTGTTGGCAGCCATCTGGTTTTCAATTTGCCGCCATTGAGCGTATCATCTTCTGCGATCGTTCCACTTTTGAATATTCAGTGAGGCTGAGCTGAAACAACTGCCATTGTGATAAATAAGTTTGATTTTCTTACACTCAGTCAACCAGGTTGAATTTTAACATGAAAAATCGCGGAGCGTAAACATCGAAAAAAAATCAAGATGATTGCAACATGTATTTACTATGAATTCAATATCTGAAGATCTAGTGATTCTCTTTCCTATTTTTATACTTCTTTCACGCTGATGACCTGTTTGAAAATCACTGCTCTCGTCAATGCATCTATCTCCAGAGGCCAAAATCCTTCGAGTGATGATGGAGCGGGTTCTTGGGTGATGATTAAGTTGAGAGTTTGATCA